ATGGTCACATTTAAAAAAAAATCTGATGTGGTCAGCACATAACCGAGCGCATTGTGTATTGTCTAGTTAAATGAAAGTGTTACAGAATATTATAAAAATGTCTGTTAAATACTTCTTTCCAATTTTTAGGACATTAGAAAGCTTATAGTTGACATACCTAGAAAAATGTAAATTTGGCTCTTAGTAAAATTTCGCTTTGTGCTACCAAAATTTCCTGAAATGCTCGCCAGTTAGTTTCGATAACAACCAGAACTCAAACATAAAATTTCAAGGAATTCCATCAATTCGTTCCGTAGATATGGTGAAAAATGTAAAATCGGCCCGCAAATCAGTTTTCGAGCCCTGATCTTTCCAAAAAATTTATATGTTCATTGCTTTAATATGAGGAATTCAAATATTAAATTTCAATGAAATCGGTTGATTATTTCTCTTTATATACACAAAAATGTATATTTGGCCCGTAGTAAACGTCTAGTTGCCAATGCCTGATTTCTTCCAAAAGTTAGGAATTTTCGCGGACGGTCGAGCAAAGCTCTTATATGAAATTTCAAGTAAATCGGTGAAATATTTTCTTCAAAATGGTGAAAAATGTGAAATCGGCCCGCAAATCAGTTTTCGAGCCCTGATCTTTCCAAAAAATTTATATGTTCATTGCTTTAATATGAGGAATTCAAATATTAAATTTCAATGAAATCGGTTGATTATTTCTCTTTATATACACAAAAATGTATATTTGGCCCGTAGTAAACGTGTAGTTGCCAATGCCTGATTTCTTCCAAAAGTTAGGAATTTTCGCGGACGGTCGAGCAAAGCTCTTATATGAAATTTCAAGTAAATCGGTGAAATATTTTCTTCAAAATGGTGAAAAATGTGAAATCGGCCCGCAAATCAGTTTTCGAGCCCTGATCTTTCCAAAAAATTTATATGTTCATTGCTTTAATACGAGGAATTCAAATATTAAATTTCAATGAAATCGGTTGATTATTTCTCTTTATATACACAAAAATGTATATTTGGCCCGTAGTAAACGTCTAGTTGCCGATGCCTGATTTCTTCCAAAACATAGAGATACACGCGTGCACACACAGACCGACAGACCGACAGGTTGCTAAAAATAGTTTATTCACACTTCCCTACTATGGAAGTGTAAATAATCTATTTACACTTCCCTACTTCCCACCGAAAACTCGATATGCAAAATTTGTTGCCATCACATAACCTACCTATTGTTTACACAATACGGTCGGTAAAAAATTAAAATTATTGATAATTTTTTTTGTAAAATTTGTTTAATTTTCCACCCAATTACAGAAAAATTTTCTTTCAGGAAAATATAATTCTGTAACAGGAAAATAATAATACTCGTAATAATTTTATAGTCATTCAAATTCATACAGTGCAAACTCTGCTCATATAAGTTCATATAATATTGAATAATATCATATTTCGCTTTAATCATGAATTGTATTTGTATTTCCATTGAATTGTAAAGATCTTGGAAGTACAATCGAGTTATTTAACTTTACATTTCTGGCAACCCTAACTATAAAACAGGCTATGTTCGGGGACTAGAGCATCCTAGGATTTTTTTTTTATTATTATTTTTCTCATAAATTTTTGATCGTAAACCTTAAGTTTTTGGCTGAATGATGGTTGCTCAATTTTTCTAAAAATTGAATTGAATTTTAAATATTGCTTTGCATTCTTTGCTGCATGGCAATATGGCACCACTTTATTGACAAAATAAAAATTCTATCAGGATTAATTTGTTCAACAGATGGAAATAAACATTAGTATAAGATATTTTGATGTTTTTATGCATTCACAATTTCGTCATAATTAAACATAGCCGATCAACACTTTGACTAGTCCGATTTCTACACAACTCTACCATAATAGGAAATAATATTTGTGCTTTAATAAATTAACCCTAATAAATAACCCTTCTTTAAACAGCAAATTTTAATTCAACACTGTACACACAACTAAAACTAGGCATAAGACAAATAGAATTCTGTTTTGCTCAGTGAAAAATTAAAAATTAAAGTACAATAATCAATAAACTTGTAAAATTTTTCAAATTTAAATTTCTTGTAGTTTTAATAAAATTTATTTGCGATATTATACTTTTTACTTAGGTACAAAAATTCAGTTGAATATCTTAAAAGTCGATCAGAAGTAACTCTTGGTTGAAAAACTACTTTTTGTTCTTGTTCATTTATTTTGTAAATTAAATATGATCTTCACATTTCAAATATAGCAGGTTATTATCATTTATTAAAGGTTTAACACCTATTTCTATTTCTGTATTTCACTTATCAACAGACACCATGCATTATAAAAACTTAATATCGATTAGAAATTTTTAATTAAAATATAGATAATACAACAAGAAGAGCAGACATAGATACGCATAGAAAAGTAGACATAGATACGAACAGAATAGTAGACATAGAGGCATATCAACAGTATAGTACAAAAATTTTAAAGTTCTATACTCGTTCTTATACCATGACCTACCCAAAATGAAGTTTTGTTCAACGTAAAATGCTATATGCGTCATTAAACAATTAATTAAAACTGTACTCTTAGTGACATAAATTTAAAACGAACTACATATCTTAGAAAAGATTTTATCTTGGATGTTTTCTATTTGCTAATCAAAAGTGGCTTTCAATAACAATTAATTTTGTTTTTCGTTTATCTAAAAATTCCTTAAAATTGTATAATAATCTTTTTATATGTTATATATTTTCGACTTAAATGCTGTTACTAGACGTAAAGTTTTTCATTCAACAAATATTTGGTTGCCTTAAATTAAATATTTTATTGTGATAATAGAAGTATGCAATTTTGCCTACTTTTAGGATAAACTGAAAATTCCAAATAGAATTTTTTTGCAAACAAAATTTCACATTATCAGCATTAAGAAGAACGAAATCAACCTAATTAATGCTTAATCCACATATACTTTTAAAATTTAAAATCAATTTTAAGATTTTAAGATTCGGAAAGCATTAAAAATTAGTAAAGTGTCTCATCCTTTTAATATACCATTATGCAGAATCTCATTTTGTTGCCCCAAATCTTTTTCTTGCAAAAATGTATAAGTCATTGGATATACAGTTCTAATAACCACAACTTCAAATTTACTTTATTTTCTTGGATTTGTTAAAAAATTTGATGACTAAGAAAATAATATTGTTCTAATGTGAGAGAAATGTGCCCAAATTCACTTAAAATGAAAAAATGTCGAGCTGCTTATTTGTTGTGTTTTAATAATGCAATCATAAAATTTATTTTCTGCTGTACATGACGAAATGGAATAATTTTATTTTAAATTAAAAATTTTTTAAAGATTAAACAAATTTTTTCACATTCTAAGAAAATTAGAAGGCTCTACCTCTAATATTCAAAATTGGAATATTCAGATGAAATCACAAAATTAAATGCTTTTGAAAATCAAAAAAAAAAAAAATCAAAATTTTCGTTATTAATACTGGATTTTACAAATTTTTATTCAACAAATATTCAGTAACAACATCATCTTTATATTTTGAGCCCAAACGAAAAATTAACGGCAATTACAAACTCTTCTGCCATCACACCATCCACCACGATATCCTCTGGCAATACAATGAGCAGCACATGCACGATCTCCCCATACTCCACCAATAATATCACAAGTTACTCTTGGTTGAATTACCAAATCATCATCGGTTAGAGAAGGATTAGCATAAACAGCAACAATTACAATAGTAAAAATTAAGAAAATGTTAAAGAAACGCATTTTAATAATTTGAATTTTTAAATGTAAATTTATTTAATTTGAACGAAATGTTTGAATTAACTATATTAATCTAAAAAAATTTGACTCTATTTATATTGAAATTTTTTCTAACAACAGACAAATATTATAAAGTGTCTAAATAATACACAGCTGCACTATTCTTATGCTAATTTTTTTTCCACGAACAAAATTAATTGCTATATAAATGTGAAAAAGCTTTAAGAATCTTTATTGCAATAACAATTTTCTTTATGATCGTTTAAATGAACATTATTTTAATGTGAAAGAATCTGGAATCAAATAAGATAATTAGTTTTTCTTAGGAAATTATTATTAAATTGCTTAAATTAAAACATTTTTGTAAAAGTTTAAGATAAATTTGAAGCTACAATTATTTTTGGGACATGTTACATTAAAATTAGTTAAGGTTATAGTAAAATATAGTCCAAGAGCAGAAAAGACATTCGTCCCCCAAAGTTTGTTTAATTACGAATTATTGCAATTAATTGATAATTTTCATACGGATTAATTATAAATCATAGAGAATTTTATAACAAATTAAATTTTAAAGTAAGAAAAATTAGGGAAAACTCAAAATCCAAATTACGATTTTTGGTTTATTGTCATATAAATCGGAAATGTTTAATTTCTAATGAAATTATTTGAAGTTTCAGCTATTTGGGGTTGAATAAATAGTTGAAGCAGTTAGTAGAAGTAAACCCCAATTCCATTATCCAATCCTTTTTGAGACAAATTATTTATATATCACAGACACCTAATTTAGATAAACCTCACTTTTATATTCGCGCAGCCAGAAAACAGCATCTTAGCTGTTGAAATCATAATTCTAATTGAAATTAATATTAAAGGTCTTATGAAGTTTAAAAATCGTAAATTGCCTTTAATTAAAAATTCAATCAGTTAACTTGTATATAACAACTAAAAAACTTTATCAGATCAAAATCACTTTAGTGAAAATTTTTTAAGTGTATTCAACTTATAATTTAGAATTTTTCCATGATAACATTTAGGTATATTATTCAGGAAGAATATCTTTAATCTTATCAAATAAAAAATTTGTTTTTCAATAAAAGAAAAATATTTATATAAATATTGAGTTGAAAATTGAAATTATCATTAGTTACTTCTAGTATTTCAAACATTTTATACAAATTGGAACTTAGAAATTGAAAAAATTCAAATTATTACAATGCGTTTCTTCAACATTTTCTTAATTTTTGCTGTTGTAATTGCTGCAGTTTGTGCTACACCACATTTAACAGAAAACGATGGTGATGATATGGTTATTCAACCAAGAGTAACTTGTGATATTATTGGTGGAGAATGGGGTGATCGTGCATGTGCTGCTCATTGTATTGCTAAAGGATATCGTGGTGGATGGTGTGATGACAGAAAAGTTTGCAACTGCCGTTAATTTAAAATAATTTTAATCTAGTGTCATAATATTTAATAAATATTGTTTTGATTTGGTTATTTCAATAAAAATAAACTGTAATATTAATTTTAAATATAATTTTTTATTATTTAATAATTTTAGGTTTAGAATGCCAACGGAAGGCAATGAAAGCGTAAATAATTGTGAGTATTAAAAGAGGCACATGAGTATTTTATTTATATCACAATTAATTTTTGTTTCTACAATCAAATTAAAGCCTTAAGCTTCAATGCCACACTTGTAAATTATGAAAGAACTCATTTGCCTCTTCATATGCACATATTCTCATTCTTTTCTTTAACTTATTTTACAAATGCCAAAAGTTGAAATCTTAAATATTTCCGATGACATTACAAATTCTCACATTAATTAATATCTTCAAAGCTATAGGGGAAATATTTCTTCTGTAAATTCTTATGGGAGAATCGTCATTTCTAAAATATAATAATCAAAATGGTAAAAGTCTTTGTAAGGCAAGGAAAATAAATTCTTCGACTCTGATTTAAAAACCTCCTGCTAGATGCTATTGTATTACTATATAATTTATACGGAATGGTTATTAAAAATTACATAAGAAAATACATCAATTTTTTTTTTTTTTTAAACAAATTCCCGCATTAGGTTCAGTTGCTTTAGTTATTAAGTACCGGAAACGGATATAGTTACAAACATTTTTCAAGTTCAAGTAACGTTAATGTAGCTAATACATTTTTTTTTCTTTACAATATTGTGTTATTGTGTAATTTGTTTGTTTGAAAAAAACAAGAAATGGAGATGAGAATGTAGAAGTTCCGGAATTTCAAAATAGCACAAACCACAACTGAATGTTAAAAGGCTCACTAAGACTTAATAGGCATGTTATGTTTATTGTATGCAATATAGAAGTAATTTATAATATATTATATGTATTTTAAGAATTAAATCAATTGTAAATTTTATAATTTTATTAAAAATTTGGAGAATTAGGAGGAAAACTGTGAGTCACTGATACTCATAGTTTTTTTTATATAGTGCCATCTTACACTACTTATACTCTGAATTGGTTTAATGTTTTGTTACAATGTAAGAAATGAATTTTTATTTTTTAAAGTTTTACTTATACAAAAACAATATTGTTAAATCATATTATTTCAATGCAATTACACATACGTACATATCGCACATTGGGAAGAATAACGACACAACTCACAAATATAAGTTCGACTTCCGGAATTTAAAGTATATATGTTTAAACAATTACGTGTGATTGAGTAAGGGAAGCTTAATTAAGTCTTTATCTTCTTTAATTAGGCCTAATAAAAAATTTTAACAAAAATTATTTTCAAAATTCCGTTAAATTACTACTTGACTCTTAATTTGATGTACTTAAACTCAATAGGCATTCAAAAAATATTTATATAGATATAGGCTAATTATAAGTAGATTTTGATTTGCTTAAACCGAATTATTGAAGAATGAAAAATTCTTAAAATACTTCAAATACAGACTTGAATTAAAAAATATATAAAATTAACCTTTGAGTTAATTGGAAGTTTATTGTTAATTTGAATAAATGATTAAAAAGCGATTGAATTCCACTTAGCAATTAATCTCGTTTTATATAATAGTCTTTATTAATATGAATAAACTAAATTATACACAATAAATTGTTAAATTTTACAAAACTAATTTAAAAATTAATTATAAGAAATTAAACAAGCTGAAAATTATTAACGACAATTGCAAACTTTTCTGTCATCACACCATCCACCACGGTATCCTTTAGCAATACAATGAGCAGCACATGCACGATCACCCCATTCTCCACCAATAATATCACAAGTTACTCTTGGTTGAATAACCATATCATCACCATCGGTTTCTGTTAAATGTGGTGTAGCAGAAACTGCAGCAATTACAACAGCAAAAATTAAAAAAATGTTGAAGAAACGCATTGTAATAATTTGAATTTTTTCAATTTCTAAGTTTTAATTTCTATAATACGATTAGGTTTGAAATACTAGAAGTAATTAATGTTAATTTCAATTCTCAACTCAATATTTATATATAAAAATTGTTCGTCTATTGTAAAGCCAATCCGGTTCGATAAGATTAAAAAAACATCCTGATTAGTATATTAGTCAAGTGTTAATAAGAAATAATTTTTTTTCTTCAAATTTGTCTCTATATTTAATTTTAAATAAATTTCAAAATTTCATTATAATTTTAATTGAGTTACTGAATAATTTATATTGAAAATGGTAACAAAAAAAGTGAGCATAAATAGATTGCCGATATTGATAAATACACAAACATTATCTATTTCCAGAGTTTTCTTAATAAATTTGAAAAAATTTATTTCTTTATAATTTTCATAGAATAGTTATTTATTTAAGACTCAAAAAGTACCTTAATTTAATAAAAATTTCATAAAAGAAAAACAAAAATTGAATTGTCTCATTTAAATTTCAGTTTAAATCAATTATCATTGTCAAAATCGAGATTATTAGAATGAAAGATTTGCTAAGTAATTTCTTGTAGGCAACTATCAAAGTACTAAAATAATTTTAAACAGCTTTCAATGAGAAGCGGTCCTATCTAGGGTTGTTTAGTCCTTTCAATTGACCAGTCTTATAACAAAATGAACCAATGAGATTTATTGGCATGGTGAAGAAATAGGTTGTGCCGCCTCTGCCTAGAGGAAAAGAAAACGACCGACACCTACAGTGCGAGTGTGAGGTGTTAGTTAGTTCGAGACTGAGGTCCTTCTTAGGGGGCTTTGTGGCCCGTTTTGAAGTCTCACGCACGGACGTAATATCTTAATTCGTCCGGAGCCTACAAAAAGTGTTCATGTAGATGGGGCCGGAAATCGAAAAAATCCTATGGGTCGAGATGGGAAAGACCGAAGGACCCTGGTCTTCCAGAGAAAAATGAAATGAAGTAGTTGAATTCTTAACAATTTAAACAAATTTTTCAAAGTTTTATTTTAATTTCATATACCTTTTTACAATTTGTGAAAATTCAATACAAAGAAGTGTATATATATGTATACAAATATATATTAGTTGACTTTGTCAGGTTTTTAAGGCGTATTCAATTAATTCATCTATTGATGAGCTCGGCGGGTTGATAAAGTGCGGAGCAACCTCGATTTGTTGGAATAAAACCGTTTAATAGCTATTAACACAAAATTAGCAGAATAAAAGTTTTTTCCACTCAATATGTAGTATGTGTATTATTCTCCTATCTCCATTTTTCTTAAGAGCTTAAGACTAATAAATATTCGTGACTATACCATAGTTTAAACATATACATACATATATACTTTTTGCATACATATATATTATACTTTTTACATAATATTATAACATATACATACATAATATTATATATTTCTGACTTGCGATATTTCTCTTTTGAAGCTTTCGCATAGCCATTTTAAATTTTCGTATTAAAAGAAAAGGTTAAGTATACACTTAGGTTATAATTTAAAACTTTTCCATGATGACGTCAAGGTGTATTTATTAGGATATCTTTCATGTTATCAAATCGGATTTGATTTACGGTAAAAGAAAAATTTTTTGTATAAATATTGAGTTGAAAATTGAAAATATCATTAGTTACTTCTAGTATTTCAAACATTTTATACAAATTGGAATTTAGAAATTGAAAAAATTCAAATTATCACAATGCGTTTCTTCAACATTTTCTTAATTTTTGCTGTTGTAATTGCTGCAGTTTGTGCTACACCACATTTAACAGAAAACGATGGTGATGATATGGTTATTCAACCAAGAGTAACTTGTGATATTATTGGTGGAGAATGGGGTGATCGTGCATGTGCTGCTCATTGTATTGCTAAAGGATATCGTGGCGGATGGTGTGATGACAGAAAAGTTTGCAATTGCCGTTGATAATTTTTAATTTATATTATTATATTAATAATAAATCAGTAAATTTACAGTATAAAAATTATGTTTGTTTCCAAATGAACCCCTAGTTAAAATTAAAACAAAATTATACAAAATTAATTGAAACTGTTGTAATATTACAAAATTAATTTGATTTTCAAAATATATAAGACTAATTGCTGAATTCTTGGTAAACTGAATGGGTATGTCATTTTTCCAAATTATAGCTTTCAAGAATTATTAAAACTCTTCTATATAATTAAAAACTTGTAAAATTCGGCTCGAGATGTTCTTTTCTTGATTATCATTTGTTAGAAAACATAACCCTAATGTTTTAATGTATGTAGTTAGGGCTTTATAGATTAGGAGTTTAAAAAATTTGTTTTCAACATTAAATTTTATCAAATAAAATTATCAATTTGTTTTTTTGTATAAGATAACAAATTATCCGAGTAATAAAAATTACTATAAATACTCGCAGTAAAACTTTTAATTTCGAAAATTTTTGAAATGAATTTTATTTCGAAAATTTTCGTGTTTTCCATTATTATTTGTACAATTCACGAATCTTTTTCTAATATAACTGATGCATCTGGTGGATTAGAAAATGAAGTGACTTTTAATCCAAAATACGACATATGCAGTATTTCTTGTAATTTACATTGCAAAATGAGGGGTTATAAAATTGGATACTGTAACAAAATAAGACAATGTGTTTGTGTTCCGTGAATATTGTAAAATATAAAGTGCTTTACTGCTATACACATTTATAAAATACATATACATAACAATGTGTTTGTTATAACTAATAAAATCTATTTTTTCAAAACTAATTATATTGATTATTAATATTAATTATAAACAAATATTTTGTTAAATTTTTAATAGGTTTGAAACAAGAATAATTTAATTTAAATTTTCAAGGAAAATTGTAGGGATTTGGTAAAGGTTTTTATTAGTTAGCAAGTAAGTGCAAGTATTTAAGGTTAATTAGCTGAATTGTAATCTCTCATTTAATTATTAATTATTGAAATTTGATTTCGAACTCCTAACCAAAAAGTTTATTGTGTTAGAAACTCTAACTTATTC